ATTGTTTATCTTATTTAAGGACCTATTTAATAGAGGTTGGCAGCACATTTTAAAAAGTTTAATTCATATGTATTTGTTATTTATGAACCGGAAACTATTCTGTTGTCCTCAACTCTATATCGGAATCTATATAAACTTTCATTAAATGTACTTTTGTATGAAGTAAATGTGGACATCAAAGCAGCGTGAGTGACATAATATGAAGCGAGACACGTTATCTGAAGATATCTGGGATGCTGTTTTTGTGCAATTTTCATTTTGACTACAGACATAAAAACTTCTGTCAGGCCTCACCGGCTTCATAACGGACTCAAGTTCTTTTAGATGGCGGTGGCTCCGTCCGGCTATAGGTCCTGGTGGAGGAGGTCGCTGTGTGAGAGCGGTTGGTAGTGCTCCTCCATGCCCGACTTCACTCGATGCCTTTGAGCAACTAGTCTCTGGTAGCGGGCCTGCTGCTGGTGGTCCGGGTCCACGTTCACCCAGCTGTTGGCCGTCCACTTCATCCCACGGCTCACCGGGCAGTCACCATGAAGAGAGTACTCATCCAGCTCACCCATCCAACCTGGGGGGGGGGGGGGCGCATTTATTTTACTACTCTGCTTTTTACGTCTGTAGATTTCTACTAAATTCACCAAAAGTTACCATTAGATAACGCCTCATTTACATATTTAAACAGAACATTTCAGAAAACATGTAATACAAAAAATAATAGTCTTAATTAAAGTAGTTAACTGTGGAAGTTTCATGTTGATATCTATTCATTTCATTTTTTACCTTATTCACCTGTAGTGTCTCCCCTTAAGGACTTTCTAAACTTCAATTCGACAGAATTTGATTCTCAGTCGATCATCAGCTGACCCTCTTTTCCCATGACTCATTTTCTCACAGGGTTTACATAACCGATGTGGGCGACACATTTCTTTTAGGATTAAACACAATGATCATAAGCCTCCTCACCTCTTCCATCTGAGAGGTGGTTGTACCAGAGCAGAGCCGTCCCGGCAGCAGGTTTTATTCTCATGTTCCCTCTGACACACGTCTGCTGGGTGTCCGTCAAGTCCACTCCATCCTGGACCAGCGCCTAGGACCCACAACACAGTGACCGAGTGTCTGAGCATTCATTCTGCCACACTAGTGTTCACTTAGGTGTAAACTCCCGGTAGCTCGGTTTCGAATTTAGCTACATTTTTGTCTTTATTTGTTGTTGTTTTACGTGTTTATCACTAATGGTAAAACAGAATACATTCATCAACATCTGTAAAGGAAGCGAGGGGACTTTGAGTCGATCACTGCTCCACGGCCGACCAACCAGCCAGACCTGCCGGACCAAACTGCCCCAGAGAGGAGAGTCGAGATGGAGGACCAGAGGAGGAGGACTCTGAGTTTACAATCATGAGGCTTGGTGCTCAAACAGTCACAGTTGATGGACAATGTTTTTTTCCTCATGTTTAATTCTTAATGTGAAGATATCGGCCATATTGTCTGCACAGAGAATTGTTACATTCCTTAGGATGCAGGTTCAAAAAATGCTCTACAGGAATGTTCTACTGTTTTTGTTTTGTTGTGTTGAAAATGAGCTACAACTGCATTTCGTTGTGCTTCCTTGTGTTACATAAAGACAATAAATCATCCTTAAAGATTCCTGGTCGTGGTTCAGCTCCGTCTGCGTGTCGTCAGCAGCATTCAGGTCATGTTCAGTTATCATCGTTTATCATCACAGAGGTCAAAGTAGAACTGTGACAGGTGGAAGCACACTCACCTGCTCCTCATAGGTGCGGTTGTCGGCCACAGGAAAGGTGGTCTCACCTCCTTCCTCTACAGAGCTGAGGTAGAACAACACGGTCAGATACCTGGGAGGAAAAAGAGAGGTAAACATGAAACGATGTCTCCTCGTAGTCAAAAGATACATTATTTAGTTTCATGTACCAGTAACAGTAGCTATCAGAGAGAGCAACAGAGTGCTGCAGCAAAGAGTCCTAAAACCAGGACACGAGTCAGCATTAATGCACTTTCTTAAAGAGATGCACCCATTGCAGTTTTCTTGGCTGATTCAGATTTTTTTAAAAGAACAAGAATTCATAGCAAGTTTACAAAATAACTTTTTAATTAATTTTTTTACTATCGCCCAGAAAATAATTTCATGTTAATTTTAACTTTGTTACAGTCATCTATATGGATGTTCAAATGATTCAAATAATTCGGAAATAAATGATTTATAGCTACAAAAATAGATTATATAAGATTCTTAGAGCTTAGGTCATAATTATCTTTCTGATATTTATTTCATCTTCTCAAATGAAATCCTCAGTGAGCTTTGAGAAGAAGGTGTGTGTGTCCAGTCTGATACGAGATAACAACACACACGATCACACACACCTGCAGGACACCTCCGTCAGAGCGGACGAGTTCCCCGCCAGACGAGAGTGAGCGCAGGTGGTCTCTGAACGAGAGGCGCCGCTGTCGTGGTGGGCATCGCCGAAGTCTCCGTGCTTGTAGCGAATCACCTGCAGCGGCTCACTCAGCTCGACCAATGAGGAGGGCAGACGAGTCAGACTGATCAGTCTGAGCAAAAAATACAAGTTTATAATAAATCAAGAGTGTGTGGGCTGCTACTATAAAGTGTGTGTGTGTGTGTGTGTGTGTGTGTGTGTGTGTGTGGTTACCTGTTCCTGAGGGTCTGCAGCACATGGTGGGATCCTGGTCCTTGGTGAAGCCTCGTGTGTTTGTTTCTCTGTTTGAAATGACTCCGTGGCTTCCCGCTCCGCTGCTGTCCGGGACGCTGAGATTGATCGTAGACATGCCTGAAGTCATCCAAGGTCAGCAACCCTGACACACACACACACACACACACACACACACACACACACACACTATTTATATCCCTCCAGTAGCTGGGAGCCTGGGACATAATAGTCCTGATAACAGACATGAATGGACTTTCAGTTACGCAACATGTCGATTACAGTTCAGATTAATGAGGGTTCAAGTCCTGAATGGGCAGAGCCTGAATGAGTTTACGTTGGTATGTTATTATTATTATTTTTACTATGATAATAGTAATAATAAGCAGTTCAAATTCTCATGAGTTGGAACGAGCTAGAAACATGAAGAAATATGATGTAATAAACGCCCAAAAGCAAGATTTTGGGAAGGCCACGCCCCTTCACAACCTAAGTCTGACTGACTTGAAATTTGACACACATGTCCAGCTCAATGTGCTCTACAAAAAGCAAGTACACCTGCTGTATTTTCTGCCATTTTGAATTTTGAAGAAAAACCCCACAAACTTAGAAAAGTGTCCCTCACACCATAAGTCTGATTGCAGTAAAATGTCTTTAATGTCTCAGCACACCAGTGGACCTGACTCCACAACTGTTTGTTCAATCGCCATGAAACTTGCAGGATGTGTCCACAAGAGAGCCTGAAACAAACCCTGAAAGTTTCACTCCAGTGGGCGTGGCACGACAAAAAACAGGATATGTTTCATGACAATGACGAACAAACTGCTTTGAAACCCCTCAATAGGGGGCGCCACTGGTTCCAAACATGTGCACGGCTCTGGCTCAAATTTGGCCATTAATCAGTTATACAGTTCTGTATGAAGTTGCCGGTTATTTTTAATAAAGCTGTTGGAACATGAAGAGAAATGACTGGCGGGACTTTGAGTAACATTGTGATGATGAAACAAGTGTCTCAGTCCGTCTTTGGACAGAAATAAAACAGCTGTTTGCTCAGTTTGGTGAAGCCTGAAAGCTGCGGCTTCAGATTTTGGCAACTGAGCCGCTTCCCTCTGTCGAGCCCAAAGAAGGAGCTGAACCCTGGAATGCAGCTTCATTTCAGTCTTTGAATTCCTGGACACTCCAATAAACAGCCTCCCTTCTCTTTGTTACGACCCTATGCGGTTACTCTCAGCTGAATGGAGACCGCGGCCCAGCATCAACAATAGCTCTGGGGGGGCGGTCAGAGAAGAGCTGGACGGGGGAGGGGGATCCGGTGTGTGTGTGGGGGGGGGGGGGGGGGATTAAGAAAAAGGGGGGTTTGGAGAATAATCCGTTTTTTAATGAGATAGGATGAGGGCACATCCGGACTGGGAGGTTTGGCACAATGGGGTCGGGTCACATCGGTGGCACTCCTCACAAAGACACTAACTCTCACCAGCAGAGACACGAAGTAAAGTCCTATAAAGTTCAGAATCAGAGGAGGATGGGCTTCACCTAGCTTTAACAAGTGAATAGCAGCATCTCTGTATTTGGACTGAATCTCTGCTCTCCACTTTACTTCAGATATCAGTGTCTCAAAGAGCTCAATCATGATTAAAAAAATATCCTTTAAGTTGAAAAAAGTTACATTTCAAATCACGGGAAAAAACTTTTGTGTCACAAATTCATATGTATGGGCCCTAAAACTGAACTGATGCGGTGCTCTTTATGGAATCAGTCACAAACGTCCTGACGCACGCACGCACGCACGCACGCACGCATGCACACGCACACGCACACACACCCCCTTACCTACCTACCTACCTACCTACCTACCTACCTGTTGGACGGGCTTCCAGACCAGAGAGTATGTGCCGTAAGTTGTCCGGGTTCAACCAGGTTCCATCCCGAGAGCGCGAGTGACTCACAATCTGCAGAGACCAGAATGTTGTTGTTTTTTTGTCTCATTTCAAACAAACACTCTTCTGACAGTTCATCAAACTTCTCCAAAAACATCTAGTTCACCTCATGCTTCTGCAGCAGCCCGTCCTGGTTCAGGTCCAGCAGACTGAAGACCTCCTCCGTGCTGAAGGAGAGCAGAGGCTGGCTGGACTCCTCTGGTCCCCGACCCGGTGCCGTGGTCCGGCTCTCCATCAGACCCTTGAGCTGAGCCAGCTGCACCACCACCCGGCACTCCTCCTCTGACAGGAAGCCGGGCACCTCTGGACGGGACCAGAGGAGACAGACAGCGGATGTTAGGACATGTGTGGTGCTTCAGAAGCCTTTCAGAAGATCCTCATTTGAAATGGAGACGCATTTAATTCACATTCTCCGTTTTCATGAGAGTCTTTTCGACTGGAAAAACTCTCAGTGGACTTATTTTAAAGCACAAATTAACTACCAAACACACAATTATGGAAATGAAAGAGCCATATTATCGTGACACCAGCAGGCCCCCCTGTCTGCCCGAGATTAGAGCGAGGATCAAGGATGTACCATCGATCGAAGAGAGCTCCTTGGAGATTATGCAACGCTCATCAAAAACGTGCAAAGTGAGGCTGACGTCCTGGGTTCATTCCCAGTTTAACTGGTGAAGATCACACATGACGACTGGGCAGCAAACACACGGGAACCTCACACCGGTCATCTTTCTTTTAAATCCCCCC